ATATCAGAACACTTTTAGATTGCTTTTTTGTTTAACTTCACAGAATTTTAGCCTCCCTTGTGCATTTTTGTGCATTTTTAAAAGCTAAAGTATACTATATCTCAATTAATGAGATATTTTCTCATCCAATAGCTTCGATTTGTGTATCAATAACTCTCAAATATCATGCTGGCTCAGAATGAAATAACTACAATTGTACCTGGGATGTTTAAGAGCTCTCCCAGAAGAAATTAAGATGTCAAAGATTACCATATAAAAGCTACTACTAAATACAATTCTGTCCTTTACAGATGGCTTAAACAATCTAAAGATCTCTAATACCACCCTAGCCAGTTTGGCTCAGTAGGCCTATGGACTGAAGGGTCCTGGGTTCAATTCTGGTTAAGGGCACATGCCTAGGTTGTGGGCTCGGTCCCGGTATGGGGGGAAATACAGAGGCAGCTGATCAATGATTCTCTGTCATCATTGATGTTTCTATTTCTCCCTCTCCCTTTCTGAGATAAAAATATGGGAGTTTGACCAGCCAGGGGGGACTGCAGGAGTGACCACGGGAGGGCTCCAAGGCACATCTGGCCCATCTCACTCAGTCTCCATCCGCTGGATCCCAGAAGCAAGCTAACCTACTGGTCAGAGTATCTGCCCCCTGGTGGTCAGTGCACATCATAGCGAGCGGTTGAACAGCTTTAACATATCATTGGCATATTATGCTTTGATTGGTTGAATGCATGACTGGATGACTAGACACTTAGCATATTAGGCTTTTATTATATAGGTTTTGCAGATCATACAAAGTTATCTATTTAAAAATTAGCCTGCTATATTTGGTCAAACATTTAATTAACTCACCCCTAATGCCATGGCACGATCACATCAAATGATTTTGCAGGACATTTTGGCCTGCAGGCTGCATGTTCCCCACCCTTGCTTTATACTCTACTAGGAAAAGGTCAGCAGGCAAGTAAGTTTCCATTAGGGAATTCTAGAGACTTTCTTGCAGTCATTGTGATAGTCATGTGATTATTAGTCTGTGATTATTATTTCTCAGGCTTCGTTCCTTATACTTGCAGGGACCTTGGTTAAAATCAGGTAGTAGGTCAACTCTGAATTCCTTCCTGTTTGGACACTTGCTCTCTCTCAATTCCTTCCTCTTGTCTTTAGCCTATCTATGGACCTCATTTTGAAAATCTCTGGATTCTTCCTGATGGTGGATTTGCAGTTTTTTAATGTCTCAAAATTTTTTTTCTCTCTTAAAATGTATTTGTTCTGTGATGCACTCTCTCATGTCCTTCAAAACCACCTATTCTTGTAAACCTGACCTCTCGTCATGCTTTCAAGTGAATTTATATGACAGCCACCTGTGCTGGTCATTCTTCTCTCACTCCCAGGGTATTCTCTCCTTCTCTTCCCAGGTCCGTGCCCCAGGAGCCAGATTTCTGCAGACGGCATCACCCTGGTCTCCCTGCCAGCTGGCATTGGATAGGGTTTGCCAATGGAAGCCACAGGCAGGAAATTGGAAAGCAGGAGGAGCGGGAGGAGAGAGAGTTGGCCACATCTCTTCCCTGCTCCTTCGCTGCACCAGCCTGTGTTTTTGGCAGTAGCTGAGTGTCTTATGATTACGCTCTCACTCAGCAGCCTCTCCTTTGAAACTGCCTCACCATTTCCTTTCCAGTAAAGCCATTTCCTTTCCCTGTTCTTAGCTGTAGGGTGAAGATGACTTCCCACTTGCCAGAGTCTGGCTGCACCAGCTTTTATTTGTTTCCTCACCCTTAGCTAGTAGTCTCCTCTTAGAAGGTCACTACACAGTCTCCCATGCTAACATTATAATTTATGAGTTTCTCAATCATAGCACGTCAGTTTGGCTTTGGCGTTTATTGTAGTTAGTTGTGTATGTACCAGTCTGTCCTACTACATAGTGAGGGCCTGAATTAGTCTTATTCATCTTTCCCCCCCAATAAATTATTATTATTGTTATTAATCTCATAATTATTGTTAATAATTGTTATTATTCTCTTGAAGTAATAACAATAATAATAAATCTGCATTTCTTTTCGATTTTCCTAAAATCAAAGTAAAACATATGTGAAGTACATAAAAGGCACTTATTTAACTATTGATCATTCATTTGGGAATCCTAGAACCCAGCAGACTACCAACCTATAGTGGGAGCTCAGTACATGTCTGTTAAATGTATTAATAAATAAATATGACTTTTGTCCCTTCAATCTAATCCTAAGTCTTAAGGCCATCTAGTGGCATTTTCAAGATTTTTTTTGTAATATTTTTAGGAAAGATGATAGATTTTCTGAGTTCACTTTGGGTTCTCTCTGAGCCACGTTCACCCTGTTTGTACCCATGGCTTGGAAGGATTTGAAGCAATTGTGATCTCATTTGTTTTTGTGCTTCCGCCCTCTGCCAAGCTCCATTTGGTACCCTATCATCCCACAAGTTGCCTATTTGAATCTTTTGAATTAAGAGTTTAGAACAGACGGTCCATCTGCTTTGCTAGAGTATTAAATTATCATAAGCCTTTGTATGAGGAGAACGCACCCTTGTGTTTTTTACAGGGCTCCTTTTCTTCTTTGCTTGGAGAGAGGCTTGGGGCATCCGTGTTTTCCTTCAACATACCCTTGGACTTAATTAGGCTGCAGTTATCAAGTCATAAATAGTCTTAGAAATCTTTGAATGGCAGGTGCTGAATGGAAGTACGAAAGTTTTATTTGTTCTCATTATCATAAAATGTGCTACTTATTAAGTGTAATTGAACACATGCCAGAGCTTGGCATTTTGAGGTTACTGAATCTCATAAGAAAAGAGAAAGAAAGCACACTTAAAAATTACATGTTGGAGAGATATATTGTATAATCAGGTTCATTAAGTAAATGCACATGCTATTTATTCACATGACAGATACTATGCAGCTGACAAATCTGTAGTTTTATTTTGAATATTCATGAGTGAGCAAGCTTCAGCCAGTTTTTAAGTGGTATAACTTATGCATGTGAGTTGTATTCTTCTCCAGTGCGCTCCAAAATTTTAACATCAATTCGCCACTGATACATATTATATAGTGGAATTATTAGTAAAAGCTGAGTAAGGAGATTGGTTTTAAGATGACATTTAAAATATATGCATACTTTCCATTATGTTAATGTGCATAAATTATCAGTTAATTTTTCAGCAAAGGTGAAAGTTGGTTTATGCTTTAATTATGAATATTTGTAGTACAACCATATATATATTTAATATTATTAATAGAAAGTACATCTCATTTCTTTATTAACAATTATTCTGTGCAACTTGATACTTTCAAAGTCATGGGAATATATAAATTCTGAAGATAAAAAATGTTTTTTTCTAGTTTTCCAATGAAATTTAAAGGAAACATACATTCTGACTTTGTAAAATTCATGTAGTTAAAAGTGAACATTGAATTTTGTACATAGGCCTAACAGACTGTTGAATCTTTTCCTGTCATTATTTCTACTGGTCTTTTGAAGTAGTGAGCTTGAGGTGATGGAGGTGTTGTAGGGCTTCCCACCCTCTACGATGCTGAGTCCCAGCCTTTCAGAAAAAAACAACAACACAAATTATGAAAACAAAAGTTAGTTCAGAGCCTTAGAAGGGTGTCTAAGCCAGAGACTGATTCTGAAGGTTAAACCTCAGTGGCTTCAGGGAAAATCTGCCTCTGTCATGGTGAGGAGTCAATCTGGGTAGTGTAAAGCATTCCTTTCAAAACAAGCACACGATTCCCCTTGGCTAAACACTTGTATGAATTTTAAGTAAATGTTTTGAAAGTCTCAAACAATTATTAGACACTTTCTATGCATTTTCACTAATTAAATTGATGTTTTCCCCATCAAATGTGAAGTTCTCTTCCAAAATTGTATTTAATAGTGATGGAAGCAGGGCAGGCCCAGATTCAACATCCTAAATAGGGTGCCTTAACCCATATATACTTAAACACAAAATAATACCAACCCATGACATGACATGTATATGCATGTGCTGAAATTAATTCAGCTTCTTTTAAATTTTCTGTTTGAAAGTTCTATAATCCTATATAATAAAAGAGTAATATGCAAATTGACCATCACTTCAACACGGATGGCTGTCCCTGTGTGGACACAGGATGACCTGCAGGGGAGGCCAGTTGTGGGCAATCATGCCAGCAGGGGAGGGCAGTTAGGGGTGACCAGGCCAGCAGAGGAGGACATCTGGGGGAGACCAGGCCTGCAGGGGAGGATGGTTGGGAGCGATCGAGACTGCAGAGAAGGCAGTTAGGGGTGACCAGGCTGGCAGAGGAGGGAAGTTGGGGGTGACCTGGCCAGTAGGGGAGGGCAGTTAGGGGCAATCGGCATCAATCAGGCTGACAGGGGATTGGTTAGGGTGTGATCAGGCTGGCAGACAGAAGCAGTTAGGGGCAATCAGGAAGGCCGGCAGGTGAACAGTTGGGAGCCAGCAGTCCTAGATCGTGAGAGGAATGTCCATCTGCCCATTTAGGCCCGATCGGGTCTAAACGGGCAATCGGACATCCCATGAGGGGTCCCAGATTAGAGAGGGTACAGGCTGGGCTGAGGGACACTCCCCACACCCATGCATGAGTTTCTTGTACCGAGCCTCTAGTGGAATATAAAAAATGAACTTTCATCATATTTGTGTTGACCTTCATTTTGAGCCACCCTATGTACCTGCTTAATATCCCCCTGTGTGAGACATCATCTAGCAGCAGATAACTAGCTTAGAGTCTGTATATTGACACTCCTTTCTCAGAGTCTAATTCTGACTTGCTGTTGCCACTTACCCTTTCTGTAGCTTATTTTACTCTCTGAACTCAAAGAGCATGATGGTAACATGGAATTTAGGTTTATAGTTGCTCAAATACCATGAAAAGGCAGAAGAACAAAAAACTATTGTTGCAGAATAATTTGAACACTTGGAAACTATTTTTCTTAATGAAAAATAAAAAATAAACATATATGTATTTTTTTTTCTTTCCAAAGCAATATGCCAATTTCAAGGGCGAACCTACTTTGAAGGAGAAAGACATACAATCTATTCCTCATCTGGAGTATGTGTTCTCTATGAGTGCAAGGTAAGAAAACTTTCCATGAGTTTTTCAAAACTCTTCCAGCTGTACAAACACAGTCAATGTTTCCTTAAAACCTCACCCTTGTGATACCTTTAAAACATCAAAGGGAAAATTTTAAGATATAAATTAGAGTTCAAATATATAAAAATTCCCATTATTTTGCAAACATATAAATTAATAGTTTTAAAATATTTTTACTAATATATAAAATGCTGTTTTGTCAAATTAAAGTTTTATGAAGTTATCTTCTATTTTCTAAATTCAAATCAGCTCCTTGTTTTCTGTTTTGAAGAAAATGTAGCTAAAGATAGACAGCCCGTTGTCACTAGTGATTTTGACCCTTGTGAGCAATATCACCCAATCCAATTAAAAACAAAACATAAAAATTACCTAAAAAGAATTAGCTGTTAGATGGAGATGAGGGAGATATTAATCTTAATCCCTTTGGGAGGAACATCTTACAAGATTTGAAGGGGAATTCTTTTTAAATGTACTGCCTTAGCCTCTTGAAGTATGCTTCTGAAGCAAATTCGATTCTTTTAACTCTGCTTCTTGATCTGCTAATTAAAAAACTAACAGTGTTTCAGAACACTCTTCATATTTGCCTTGTATAAACTATAATGTTATATTTATTAACAATACATATTTCAAGCCACATTCTACCTGAAGGGAAACTTTATATATAAAGTTTCTGCTTTAGGGTTTTATTTCTATTTGAATTTGAATTTTTCCCTTTTAAATGCCTCCCATACATGAATTTTGGGGATGATTTAGTATGTATAGGTTATGTAAAAAATTAAGTTAAGTGATTTACCTTGCTGGCAAAACCAATAAACTGCAAACATTTATGAATTTTAAATATTGGAGAAAGGAAAATCCTAAGAATTTCGCCAAGATAATTGAATATGAAAAAAGCCAACTACATAGTTCAGGCATCTTAAGTTGAGTGACTTTTGGGATAAGCAAAGAGGAGACATAATGAGGCAAGACTGTGGCAGATTTGATTTCTAGAATATGAAAGCTCTGCTTTCTTCAGCCTCATTGTACAGTATTCTAGCTGATCCTTTGGTTTTGAACTGGGTCTCCTCTGAGTGGGAGCTGAGGCATAGGAACACTGTTAGCATGAATTACTTCACTGTATTTCAAGATGGCCTCGTTCTCTGTCAGCATGCCTATACCAGTGCTGGTTTGAGTGGAGTGGGTCCCACCACACATGTAAGAATTAGAGGGAAATCTAGTTACTCCAAATTGAGAAAACAGAATCAGAGAAAAGTCACTTTAAGGAAAGTGGAAAATGTTTGTCAGCTGGTTTCTAATGGTAAACTCTAACGTTGAAATATCAGCTCTAAATTTAAAATTCTCCAGGGCGTCTGAAGGTTTCTACCTAATATGTGCATGTGTATTCTTTTTATCTGACCTTTGTCTTTCCTAATACTGATCATCGTGGTTTAGAAATTTACTGGGATAGTTGATTTTAAAATAGCTATAAAATGCTTTAATTTTAAATTGGTTTAGTGAGAAGTCTCTATAGACAACTCTGAGTGCTCAGTAAATATTTTATTTGCTCAAAAAAAGGCACAATTTCCTACCCTCTAATGCTGTGCTATCCAATAGAAATATGATAGGAACAACAATTGTAATTTTTATTAGGCTAAATTTTCTATATTTTCCATATTTAACTTCATATATCAAAATATTATTCTAACATGTAATATATATAGCAATCTTAATGAGTCATGCTAAGTCTTCAAAATCTTGTGTGTATTTTACTGCATTTGCAGTGTTCAGGAGCTGTATGGAGCTGGTGGCTATTGATTATACAGCACAGCTATCCCAGATTATCACCAGCTTTTACAGTACTTGACTAAATTCTGAACAGTAAAGGACTTCCATTGTTTCTTTTCCCTCAGGTCCCTCAGCTTTTGTATTTACCCCTCTACGTAATTGGCAGCTCTCTTATGCTTCCATTTTCTGGGCTGTCAAATCTAATCCTTCTTTGTTCCTTTGCTGTCAGATTTGTGGCCTTGAAAATGTGTCCTGGGAGTATGGGTAACACAGAAAAACACTGTGGCTCTGGAAATAACATTACCAGAATGGATATTGCTGTCAAGTCAAAGGAAGACTAGTATTTGACTCCACTGTATATACATGTCCTGCCACTTTTAAAAAAATATTTTTTATTGATTTCGGAGAGGAAAGTAATCTAACTGTGAACTCCTGATTCATAGGTTGATGCTCATCTGCTGAGCCACATTGGCTGGGCCTGCCTGCCACTTTTAAAAAATATATATTTTATTGATTTTTTTACAGAGAAGAAGGGAGAAGGATAGAGAGTTAGAAACATCAATGAGAGAGAAACATCTATTGGCTGCGTCCTGCACACTTTCTACTGGGTATATGCCCTTGACCAGAATCGAACCTGGGACCCTTGAGTCCGCAGACTGGCACTCTATCCACTGAGCCAAACCAGCCAGGGCATGGGTTTGCCACTTTCTTGATAAGAGATTATGAATTGAAGGTTTATATAAACTGGGAAGAGGGAGATATTGAAATGAATATTTCTCCCATAAATGCAGTTCTTACAGAAATGATAACTAAACATCTAGTGTATTGAGCAGCATGAAATGGAAGCCTGCAAGTTCCAATAGTTATTTTATTACTTATGTACCAGTGAGCATAATATAACATAGTGAATGACCCAGTTCTTCAGAAGTTAGAGATTGGCAGTATAGAAACCAAATGCTTGCTTTGAAAGCAGGGCTAATACATTTATCAGAAAAATATTTTGTATTTTGGTTTCTCCTTCGGAAAGATTTTATATACTTTGATTGCTAGAACTGTAATAAGACATTGATTTGCTCATCTCTTTAAGAATTTTTTTTTGAATACCAAATATGTGCCAGGAAATATTCTAGGCATTCATTCTCAGGAGATATGAATCTGGCCATTCCCCTTATAGTTTTGTTGGGAGGCCATCAATATTCCTCTACAGAGTCACCTGTGAGAATCTCCTTGCAACAGCTTAGAAAATGCTAAAATGAGAGTGTCAAAAAGCTCAGTTTTTACTTATTTATTTTTCCAGTGAGCTGTTGATCTAATTCAAGCTGTGTCTTTGCCACATTGTCATCTGGATGTGCAAATGTGTTGTAAAACCAGTGGAATTTTTCAGGATTATCCTGAAAAATTATCATGTTTGGCATCTTGTAGGCATGACGGCAGTGTCCATTTTAAAGTGCTTTCCAAGTGCTGATAGTCCATTTCAAAGACTTTCCCCCTTTGTAATTTAAGATCATCACGAGCCTGTGGCCTATGCAGAGGTTCTCAGAATGAAAATTGTAGTTTTATGTCAGAAGAGCCCTTTCAGATACTAGACCTGAAAACTTCTCAGAGTCCTAAGCATTTATTTTCTGTTGTCTAACAGGAGCAGACCATGAAGCTGGTTGAGAGTGCAGGCTGTCCAGCTCTGGATTGTCCAGAGTCTCAGCAGATCACCTTGTCTCACAGCTGCTGCAAAGTTTGTAAAGGTAAGATGACTTTTTTGTAAAGCAGGTTTATGTGTGTGTGTCACCCTACGAGGCCTTTTTAATCTAGAAGAAAGAAACATTCTTATAAGCAAGTTATTTCTAAATATTAGTTATATTTCTCTAAATGCATTCCTGACTTGGCACACAGTAGATGGCCATGAGTTAGTTATTACAGTAATAAATAAAATCAGAGTGCTTTCTACATTTATCAGAAAAATATTTTGTATTTTGGTTTCTCCTTCAGAAGGATTTTATATACTTTGATTGCTAGAACTGTAATAAGACACTGATTTACTCATCTCTTTAAGAAATTATTTTTGAATACCAAATACATGCCAGAAAATATTCTAGGCATTCATTCTCAGGAGATATGAATCCGGCCATTCCCCTTCTCAGGCTCTCGATCTGTGCACCTGCCTCTGTGCCCTGGTCTAATTCATTATGACACTTCTGAGGAAATGTACACAACAATGCTGACTTATTTTATATTTGCATGTTTGCTTGCTTCTCTTCAGTTTGTTCTGATACTGGTAACTGATGTACCATGATTCCCATCTGCTTACTTCAGGTCCCTCTCTTATCGTTTCCAATCTCTTCACTCGTAGGCTCCTATACCACCAAGGACAGAGAGGCCATCAGACATGTTTTGCGTTGCTTCTGTGACAAATGGCCTAGGGCTGATAAATACAAGGGATTTGGATTTTTAGTTCAATATAAGAAAATGAATTGTAAGTTACTCAGATATGCACTGGGACACCTTAGGAGGAAGAGAGTTCCCAGCACTAATGATTCTTACACTAGATATTCTACTGTAAATTTCAGTATTAAATGAATGGATTGATTATATGGAACTTTTTATGATTCCTACCAATTATGAAATTATATGTACCTTATTGTATTATCTTGAAATTAAACATTTGTGAATCCATTTCCTTCATTGGGCTATGTACCTTGAGGGCAGGGCTGGGTCTTTATATTCACCTCTATATCCTTAATGCCTAAAACTTAATATTGGATATAGTTGGTGTTAATAATTCCTATAGTTGACACTACATAGCTAACTGCTCTAACTGACCTATTAACATTTGATTGATAATGGCCTTTATGCTAATGCAAAGGAAAGCTTAAATAGAAATAAGTAAAAAAGTAATATGCCATTTTGTTTCCTTTTAACCAATCTATTAAAAATGGACATAAAATACTCTTTTCCATTTCTAGCATGGTGGTACAGTTTTTTATTTTTACTTCCTTCTTCCATCCATTCAATTATGAGTTTTAAAACCTCAGTTCTGTGAAAGGTTCTTTGAGAATTTCAAAGTTGTTTAAGACTTGGATTGCCCTTCAGGGAGCTTTTAGGGTAGCTCTGAGGAATGAAGGAACACTGCCAAGAAGGACTGTAACCAAATGGACAAACAGGAAGGGCCATTGGAGGTTTCACCCTTCCAGCACTGAACTGGTGCCTTGCACAGAGCACGTGTGGAATTTGATTTCAATCAAGAGCGCTCATTCCAACCTCTTGGTTTGGAAACTGGACAGTTATAGGGAGGTATCCCAGTGCTTTAAAAGCTGAAACGTACATGTAAATAAGCTAGGGATGTTATTAACATGCAGACTGTGACCTGTAGGTCTGGGGTCGAGCCCAAGAATCTGCATCTGTCATAAGCTCCTGGGTGATGTTACTACTGGTCTGTGGGACCACATTCAAGGACTTACCTATTGCTGCATAACAAAGTTGCCCCAAAGCTCAGTTGCTTAAAACAAACATCCATTTTAGTATATCTCACAATATTGTGGGTCAGCACTTCAGAGAGGGTTTGGCCAGGACATTCCTCTGCTCCACATGCTGTTCACTGGGGTCATTCAGCTGGAAGCTGGGCTGAGGTGGAAGATTCTAGATGCCTCACTACATGCTGGGTATGTCAGTAGTGATGACGGGAGGGCTGGACACAGCCAGTACTCTTTCCCTCCACATGATCTCAGGACTTCTCCCTGTGGTCTCTCCAGTAGGGTAGTAGTCAGGCTTCTTAAATGGCGACTGTTGACTAGGTCTAGAATTGAAACAGCAGCACTTCTACCACATTTCATTGGTCAGCATAGTTATGGGACTGCCCAGGTTTAAGAGGAGGCAGAAGAGAGCTAGCCATGATAGGAGTGCTGAAATTGTGTGGCTACCTTTAATCCACTGGCAGTGCGGAGGAGCTACTCAGATATTAGAGAGGTAAAGAGTATAAAAGTTAGTCAACATGGGCTAGGATGAGATTTGAATAAGAACCTGAGATAGGGCCTTTGAGATGTCAAGAGAAGCTCCAGTACACCCATTTCTTTTTAAAAGAGCCATGATATAAAATTATGAAAAGCAAGTTAGAAAATGAAAAACAGCTACAAAAATTGTTATATTTAGCCCTAGCCAGTTTGGCTCAATGGATAGAGCATCAGCCTGAGGACCAAAGGGTCCTAGGTTTGATTCCGGTCAAGGGCTTATCAGCCTAAGCCCTAGTTAGGGCTCCTGCAGGAGGCAACCAATTGATGTGTTTCTCCCACATCGATGTTTCTCTCTGTCTTTCCCTCTCTCTTCCATTCTCTCTAAAAATCAATGGAAAAATATCCTCGGGTGAGGATGAACAAAAATAAACAAACAAAAACAAACAAACAGCCGAGACCGGTTTGGCTCAATGGATAGAGTGTCGGCTTGGGGACTGAAGGGTCCCAGGTTCGATTCTGGTCAAGTGCATGTACCTTGGTTGCAGGCATATCCCCAGTGGGGGGTGTGCAAGAGGCAGCTGATCGATGACTCTCATCAATGTTTCTAACTCTCTATCTCTCTCCCTTCCTCTCTGTACAAAATCAATAAAAATATATTTAAAAACAAAACAAAAAAAAACAACAACCCACAAACAAACAAAAAATAAATAAATAAAGGTGATTAAATGTTTTAAAAATTTGTTATATTTAAATTGTTCATACTTTTAAAAATTAATGTGTTTACAGAGCACACTCCAAACACAGTGACAAAATATTTTCTGACCTACCAATATACCCCCACCACCTGAGATTCTTATGTAATAGAGATGAAATGGAGACTTGGTATCACCATTAAAAAAAAAATCTGATGAATTCTCTTAAGCAGCCAAAATTAAGATCCACTGGCTTAGATAATACTGAAACTGAAATTGGACACGTTAGCCCTTCTTGAAACATTTAGTGCAATTTATAATGAAGGTTGCTTCTATTTCTGACTTCAAATATATAACCAAATGAATTCTCCTGGCATTCTCTGACTTTAAACTAAAAAAAAAAAAAAAAAAAAAAAAAAAAAAAAAAAAAAAAAGACAAGTTCTCTAGGCTTACATTTTGAGCTAACTCCTACACTTATGCTGTGACAAATTCATTTGTAATAAACTTGGCCTCTGGTTTCTGGGGCTTCCTGCCTAGTGCTAAAGATGCTGTGCTCACACCTGAGAAAGTTGTTCAGCAAGAGTTAGTCAGTATTCCCTGAGGGCAGAGCAGGAGATTGAAGTGTTGACCTGCCCACCAGGTTCTGCCAGTGACTGGAAGCCAAGCTGTGCACTGAAATGAGGCTCCACATCCAGCCAAGGATGTTTTCTCGGTACCATGCAGTTGGCTCTCTTCTGTAGTAGTGTCTCAGAAGCAGTGCAGTCTTGATTCAGGACTGTGACTTACTTGTGAAAATTTTGATACCTGCATTTTTCTTTTCCTCCCTTAGCAGCCCCTTTCTCTATGTGCAACACTACCACATGCTTTTTATTGGATACCCCACTTTAAGTTGGCATTTACTTCATTGTGACTTATAAGTAGTCGGGGCATTGGCATGCAGAAGGCTGAGCGGCTGTAGATTGTTCTCTCCCAACTTCTGGATAACTCAGTTTCCCACATTATTAAATTACACCTTTAGGATTCTTATTATCTTTATGTTACTAATAGCATTTAGTTAGTGTTTTATATCTTTTATTAGTCATTATTTAAAACTTTAATTCATTCCTAAGAAATGGTATCCATGAAATAATAGGATTATTTGTTATTAGATTCATGTGTTTCTTATACACATTAAAATAAATCCATTGCTATTAGTACTTTTAAAAAATGTTCACCCAACAGAGAGCAGACTAATGGTTGCCAGAGGGGAAGAGAATTGAGGGACTGGATTAAAAAAAGTGAAGAGGTTAAAAGTACAAATTGGTAGTTACAATATAGCCATAGGAGTGTAAAGTACAGCATAGGGAATGTGGTAAATAATATTGCAATAATTATGTATGGTGCCAGGTGGGTATTGGAAATATCAGGGGATCACTTTCTTTTTTCTTTTTTAAAAAAATATATTTTTATTGATTTTGTACAGAGAGGAAGGGAGAGGAGAGAGTTAGAAACATCGATGAGAGTCATCGATCAGCTGCCTCTTGCACACCCCCACTGAGGATATACCTGCAACCAAGGTACATGCCCCTGACTGGAATCGAACCCAGGACCTTTCAGTCCCCAAGCCGATGCTCTATACATTGAACCAAACCGGTTTCGGCCGCTTTCTAAAATATATGATTTTTTAACCGCAATGCTGTACACATGAAATGAATACAAGAATATTGAATGTACTATAATTGAAAAATAAAATTTAAGTTAAACGCACACCACACACACACACACACACACACACGCACACAGACACATAACTCTTCATCCATGCATATGAATCAAACTGGGAAAAATCAGGATTATCCATTGTCTTGCAAACAATACCTAAATAAGTTTGTATTCGTTGAGGTGCAAAAGATAGAACACCTAATCCAACTGACTTAAGCCAACAATGGAACCTATAGCCCCAGTAAGCAGCTTGAATCAGATTGCAAATCCCACCCCTTTCCCTAGATGCATCTCTCAGTCTGTCTCTTCTGAGGTGGCTTTATCTTTAGGCTCTTTGTGAGAAAGTTGCTGAACAACTTTCTCAGGTGTGAGCACAGCATCTTTAGCACTAGGCAGGAAGCCCCAGAAACCAGAGGCCAAGTTTATTACAAATGAATTCTTAGGTAAGCAGAACAAAATTCAATATTTTCATGTGTTGAACAAAGACCTAGAATTGAGTTTCCTCTGTCTTTATTAGCCTGGACTGGATTGTGCCCAGGCCTAGAGAAATTACTGTTTCCAGGCCCGAGGAATGCCTTCTCCTGTGGGGCAGCAAAGGCCATTTCTTTATGAGCTCACAGGTTCATCCAGAGTATGAGTAGCTTCTTCTTATTTTCCAAAAAAGAGGAATAGATGCCTGTAGGCAATGCCAACAAATATTCACTTCAAAATCAGTGGATTATCTTTCTCCTGATTATTAAGTACTAGAGATGCATGAAGATTAGTTCAAGAGTGGGCCTTTCTTTTCCTTGCTGCTGGCACTGCCTTCGCTCCAGCCTGGAGCTACCATTTCACTCCAGCTTGGAGCCGCCTCTGCATTCCCATGCTGCCCAGAGGCCTGGAGTGGTTGGGGCAGTGAGGAACACCTGCCCACCATCTTTGTTGTGTTAATTTGCATACTCACTCCTGGTGGGCATTGTGAAGGTAGGATCAACTTGCATCCTTTTCTTTTATTAGTGTAGATAACCTTTATCTATATTGTTCTTGTAGTCTTTCATATTCACCCTTCCCTTTGTATCCAGTTACACAGAAATGCATGCTAATATTTCATAAAACTACATTTAACAAAAGACACAGAACTTCATTTGAAAAGCTCACAAAAGGAATAGAAAAATTGCTATCTTTGAGGTTGAAATCCAAAGGAACAATGAAAGAAAGGCTAGATTGTATTATATTATTGATCCATCCATTTAGAACTAATATTTGAATTTTCTTCTGTGATATGTATCTCAACAGATTTGTTTTATGGCTTATTAGCAATATTCTAATTGCTTTAATTATTAACAAATACCATACTATTATGGTATTTTACATAGATGCTTTTACATAGATGGCCTCATCTGAACCTTACATTTTTGTGAGGTAGATATTATCCTAATTTTACAGGTGATAAAAATTTGAAGATTTTAGAAAGGTTAATTAACTTACATGGCTAATTGACACAGATAACAAGTAAATTCAGGTTTTTCTGACTCAGTTAATAAAGCGTTGGCCTGTGGATTGAGAGGTCCTGGGTTTGATTCTAGTCAAGGGCACATGTCCAAATTGCAGACTGGATCCCCAGTAGGGGGTGTACAGGAGGTAGCCAATCAGTGATTCTCTCTCATCATTAATGTTTCTATCTCTCTTTTCCTTGCTGAAGTTAAATACATATTCAGTGAATTTATTTGTTGAGAGAATAAATCAAAATAGCTATCTTACATCATCTAGAGTAAATTTGAATATTATTGATGAAATTTTCAGTTTTCAAGTCTCTGGATTAATAAAAACAAAACAAAACATACACTATCTGATAAAAACTAAAGTACTCCCTAACTAAACCTAACAGTGAAAGTAGCATCACACTTATAGTTGTTACCTTATAGTTGTTATTTGTAGCAATTAGACACTGCATCATGAGCATGTGCACAATATTTGATGCTAAGATGAAGGGTCTTGCCATTACTTCGGCAGAACAGGAATGGTTTGTAACAAATTGGGTAGAATCTGAAATATGGGAGAAGAGAAAATGCAGCAAAGTCAGAAATGGAAATATAGTTTTGAAAAAATATAAACTATGATAGAAAAATCTAAATATATTAGGAACGGCACCTGTTCTTAGTCCAAGGCCTCTAAAAGTTATTTGAAACATCACAGTAAAAGTATGCACATTTAGCACTGTGTTGGAAGATGGTCTCCTAATATTTTGTGTTATCTACAGGAGTTTTTGCAGTTTTTGTTGGTTTGTTTTGTGTGTGTGTGTGTGTGTGTGTGTATGTGACTTTCTTTTAACTTAAAATAAATATGAAGTTATTTCTTGGAGCCTTTTCATTTTAGGTTGATGATATGCTGAGCTATTTGGATAGAGAATAGAGATGACTTTTTTAGTTGAAATTATTCCCCCTTAGGCATTATAAAAAGGCAATGGAACACATTGTAAGAAAAATGGTTTCAATTTAACTATTCAAAGAAGAAGGTAATAAATAAAAAGACCCTACAAAATTTATTCCCCTCTTAAAAATGAGCCTTTTACTTCTAAATGTTTTAATCGTGAGAATTTATATTGTGAAGAATCTTGTCAAGAGGTTTCAATGCTGTGATTCACTGTATACAGTAGTACCTCCTTATCCATGGTTTCGGTTACCTGTGATCAACAGCAATTCAAAAATATTAAATGGGAAAGTAAAAAAATAAGCAATTCATACTAGTAAGTTTTAAGTTGCACAACGTTTTATGTAGCATGATAAAATCTCAATCCACCCTGGGATAGAGATCCCACCCTTTGTATAGTGCATGTGTGCGCGCGCGTGTACACACACACATACTGTACACATTATCCGCCTGTTAGTCACTTGATTCCTGTCTTGGTTATCAGATCAACAAACCTGATATTGGTGTGCTTGTGTTCGAGTAGCCCTTATTTTGCTTAATAATGGCCCCAAAGCCATTCACATAACTTTTATTACAGTATATGTTATAATTGTTCTATTTGTTGTTGTTTTTGTTAATCCCTTACAGTACCTAATTTTTTAATTAAACATCATGGGTGTGTTATATAAGGGAAAACATATATGATGTATAGGGTTTGGTACTATTCTGTGGATTCAGTCATCAACTGGGGGGTCTTTGAAAATATCTCTCTCAGGATAAAGGGGGATTACTGTGTTTTTTTTTGGGTCATCTTTAGGGATATGTTTTAATTTGGGGGGATATTCATAGCAGTCCTTATGGATACCAACTAATCAGAATGCACAGCAACCTTTTTGCTGTACCAGACATACCTGTTGGCTGTATCACCCTTTTACTGAATCACAGTGTTTTATGGTCATTTGATTACAGATAAGGTGAACCAGTTTAGAATTTCCACCTTCATGGTTTGCTTAGGTAAAAGTCTTGGCTATGGGCAGGTGAGTTTATTCTAGTTACATGCAATATATTATTCTAGTCTTTTATACATGAACTGAAATTGTCATTCATTAGACAATGTAAAACGAGAGAGATAACTTATGCATCATTTGAAATGTGTTTGAATGATGCATAATCATGTAATTGCCATTAAGTATGGATTCCAGTGTTCAAGCTTTTCATTTCAGCATCTCAGATTATTTTTGAACAAGGGATTCACACAGGAAAAGGAGATCCTCAGAAATTGCACATGATTGGTGTCACTGTTTATAAAATTTTCCATTTTTTCTTTCTTCTCATAAAGACTTTAGAATCTGTGAAATCTTTGTAATTCATAAAAATTTTCTTCTTCTTTTGAGAGGACATATTTTGCCTGGCAGATTTTGAGAGAAAATTAGATTGAAGTGGTGTAATTTTCATTTTAAACAGGCTTTGAATATTTTTTAAGGATACTGGCTGTCTGTTTTATTTCTAAAATACACAATGTACCCATTTCATCTGACTTGAATTGTATTACCCATAGTTACCAATAATGTTCCACCACCAGTTCTCAGATCACTTTCTCACTGTATTATCTCCTGGGTTGTATATCTACACTTTGGACTCCAAGAATGGTTGTTTCAGGTAATGGAGGACTGTTATTAGAATATTAGGAACTAGGGAGCATTTATAAAGACCGAAATAAGATGAAATAAGACATAGATTAAATTGAAATAGGAACTAATTGAGTTTACACAGAAAGAGAAAGTTTTTAGTACACATAGCATGTGGTTCTGTAAACACTAAATAAAGATATTACTTTAAAAATCATGTAAGGAAAAATTGCTTCTAAATAAAAAAGAAATATGAAGTAAACGGGGTTTATTGGCTTTGTTATGGTTCATTTACCTCCATAAGTTCCTTTTTTCTTGTAGGTTATGACTTCTGTTCTGAAAGGCATAACTGCATGGAGAATTCTGTCTGCAGAAATCTGAATGACAGGGCCGTCTGCAGCTGTCGAGATGGTTTTAGGGCCCTTCGCGAGGACAATGCCTACTGTGAAGGTAATCCTCGTGCAGATTTGTAGCTCAGATGGATACATTTCCTAAGATTACTGCATGCCAAATTTATTCATTTCCCAGGTTGTCAAGTTGATGGGCCCATTAAAAGCGGTGAATTTAATTTGGAGCATATTAATCAGCTAAAAGTAATTTATCTTTCAAATTAAAGTTTTTCAGTTATCTGCTGTATGTCAGACTAATAAGTTAATATAGCTGGTTTCTTGAATGAGAACAATACTCCCACTGTGAAATTGCCTTCTCTTTTTTTTTCATAATTAGATGTTCAGGTAGTTCACATATTGACACATGATTACAGTGGCTTGCAGTTAGCATTGTAGGCAGATTTTTCCAGACAATGTTGTGTAACAAAGGCAATCAATTAAGCGAAAGATAAAGTGCCCACTGCTATTTTTGTTTGCTAACGTAAGTAATCTCAGTAGTTGTACCGATGCTTTGTGGTATTTAGTAAATAGCGCCAATGGCATAAAAGGTTCACTAGTTATTTTTAAAAATCTCAACTAATACCCAAGGTAGTTTATTCTCTCTTGGAAACAATCCAAATACAGTGAGGAAGTCCTTGGCATTCATAAATCCTGTGGCTTTAACTATTCATGAAGTATCTAGAAGTGCATGAGATGTAGTAATTTATGATTTGCCTGAGGCACAGATTTGAACCATTATCATTAACTGTGTGTCTAGCTAATGGGTCTTGAAAGGAAGAACACTGCTATAGTGGGGTTTGGACCTTTGGAGTGTTCTAGACTTGCCCTTTCCAAATGTCAAAAATGTGCCATTGGTCCTTGGAGGTGGAAAACCTCCAAAGCATAAACATTTAACCTTTGCCTAGCTACACAGTGATTTATTGGCTGATGGGAAACCAATTTCTATTGTTTCCCTTAGCTTTCAATAGATTTTTTTTTTCTTGCCTTAAAAGTCAGTGTTTATTTTGACATTTTTCTCCAAAGTATTCCTTTAAATGCTTCTGAATCAGTTCTAAAGAGACTATTCCTTTTTTGCCTAAGGAAGGACATATGGCTTCCCTTCCCCATTCATAATGAAGATTTATTTAAAATTCCTCATTTTGAAAGATTATATACAAGAAATGTATTTAAGGTTACTCAGTAAAATAATGTATTTTCATTACAATATTTAAGATTTCTAGTATGTAATAAGCCCCACTGATATTGTTAATATGTATATGAAACTAAATGATATAGATTCATGTGATACCTCTTTTTGAATCTTACTTTTATGATAATCATTTTCTATTTAGAGCTGCTGCTTTTGTTGTTGCTAACTGTGTTCAACTCATGTAGTAAGTACTTAGTGAGCACCCACTTACTGTACCCCACTTTTCTAGGACTGGATGGAAAATGGTGAATAAGTCTCATACAGTTCCTATGCTCAGGAGCTTACATTCTGTGGGGGGTGGAATTGGCAGGGGGGATGGGCAGAGACTATGTGAGTAACTCCAGGTAGCAATAAGTAATGGGAAGAAAAGGAAACAGGATGGTGTGATGGAGAGTGACTGGGGAGTAATTTAGGTAAGATGGGTCAGGGAAAGCCTCTGAGGCTGGAGAAGGGAAGGTTGGCACTTGACTCCAGACTTGATGATAAGGAAGCAACATTGAAAGGTCCAGAACAGAACATCCCCACAAGAAGAAATATCAGGTAGAAAGACCCTAAGTAGGAACCAGCTTGGCTGTTCTGGAAACATAAAGAAGGATAATGTGATGAATCAGACAAGTCAGAGAGGCAGTTAAGAATTAGGCAGCATGAAGACAATGTGGAGTGGACTCTAAAGAGGGGAATGACACGCTCAAAATTGGAAGGACAGTTCTGCCAGCAATGTGTTCGATGAAATATTGAGTTGGATGTGGTGGGGAGAACAAAAGTGCCCACAAAAAGACTGGTTGGAAGGCTACTGCAGGAGTCTAGGCAAAGATATTGATGGCCGGATAGGAAAGTGATAAGGGAGACAAGGAGGAGGGAGGATATTCATGGTAGAGACATCTGGAATGGCTCAGACTGAAAAATGGTTTGTAAATTGCTTCATGATGTGTATTGGTCATTTAAAGATGTGATCTTCAAAAGTTAAGAAAGTAATGGGAAAATTTGTTGGTTTATTACAGAGATACTAGTGGCCTGGTGCATGAAATTTGTGCACATTAAAAGGGAATTAATTAGAAGAAATATTTAAATATTACCCTTTGCCCTTTCTCTACAATAGAAGTGTCAGAGATGAAAGAAAATTAGTAAAACGTATATGAAAATCTCCCTTCTGTCAGAGTCTGGGGTGCGCCACAGGACCCAGAGTCAAGTCCTCGCCCTACCTGTGTGCACCTTGAAATCATGTGAAATCCAGACCCAGCTGGCCCCATCCCAATCAAGCCCACAGGGCAGGGAGTGCAGCCTCAGGTCCCCCAGCCCCAAGGCGAGGGTGCAAGGGTGCAATGACCATTTGCGTATTAGCTCTTTATTATATAGGATTGAATATTTTATACATGAAGACATTTAATATTATATCTTCTGTTATTCATGCTAACAGGCTTTGTAGTATTCTGATCAAATTTGGTTTTACTTTGTTGTTGTTGTTGCTAACTTTAAGGATGTTTTGACTTCTTAGAAGCAACATTTGAAAAAATGTTATGCAGTCAGCTGGTCTTGTAGAGTTCTGGTCCTCTAGGAAATATGACTTTTCATTATATATAAAAAAACAAAATGAGCAAGTGGTAATGTGTAAGTAATATACATTTACTAAATCTGTGGGGTTGTTTAATTGAAATGATTGACTTTTACTATTTACTTGATCAGTGTTAAGATAACACTAGTAAATATTGAAATTCATTTATTCATTTGACACATGTACATTGAATCCCTACTTTGTTCAAAGCCAGGCTAGCGGTGAAACAGTAAATAAGATATAATAATGACTGATTCTCTTTTAGGCAAGAAAGATAAATAGATCGTTACACCAAAGGACATTGAATTGCACATGGGACAAATGCCCTGAAAGAGAAACAGGTTAACAGAGGTCTGATCTGGGTGGGTAGTAGTGCTTGAAGAAAAGATGTTTTTGCTTTTTGTTTTTCTGAAATCTGAAGATTAAGTAAAAATCAGCCAGGACTATAAGTAGGGTGGGAAAAAAGGGAATTTCCTAGGTGGAATAATCAGCGTGTCTAAAGGCCTCTAGGTGGAGAGAAGGACTTTGTAAGAATTGGCACAAGGCAGAGAGCAAGGGAGAGGTGCCTGATGAGACTGAAGGTGGGAAGCAGGCAATTAAAGGGCAGAGTGATGACTGAGGTTTCCTGATAAGAACAAGGGGAAGCCAATGGCAAGTTTTAAGCAGAGAGGTGCCATGATCGTATTGTGAAGGCAGAGATCAGGTTGATGGGCTTATAAGCCAAGGAACACCAATGATTTCTACCAGCCAAGCATCAAAGTTAGGCAAGAGGCATGGAACAAATTCTCCTTCACAGTCCTCAGAAGAAACCAGCCTTTGGACCATTAGCCTATAGATTTGTGAGACAAATTTTTGTTGCTATGGCCGCCAGTTTGTGGTACTCCATGGTGGCCCTAGCAAATGAATGCAATCTGAAAGAAATATTTTTTGTTTCTTGGTTTAATTACCGATGATTTAATTACCCTTCTAGACTGCTTAATTTTTATTTTTTCCTTGAAAATTTTCTTGATAGATTAAGTGCACATAGATTTAACTTATCAAATCAAATTTTAAATTTTATCTGACTAAAGAAATAGTACCTTGTTCTGTATTGTCCAATTGTTATATATAATAATTATGTACTATATTATTTATTACTAAGATATTCATATATATGTATTGATATATATTTCTCCCATATATAAGTGTCTTGCTGTCATAGATTGTTTATTTTTCTTGAATAGAGAGAGACAAGTAGAGTGTAAGGGATACATTGTTTATGGTACTTTTTTTTTCTCTGACTGGCTTATTTCCTTTAGCATAATGTTCTCCCGGTCCATCCATTGCAAATGGTAAAATTTTCTTCCTATTTACAGCTGAGTAGTATTACATTGTGTAAATGTAACAGCTGTTTTAAAGTACCATATGATTTCACTCATATATAGAATTCAACAAGTAAACTGAACAAACAAACAAAATAGAGACAGAATCATAGAGAGCAAGTTGACAGCTGGTGGTGGAGGGTGGTGGTGGGGATGGAGGGATTGAACAAAAAAGAAAAAAAAAGAGGAATAACTTATAGACAGGGACAACAGTGTGGTGATGGCTGCGGAACAGAGGGGGTGGAGGTGGAAATAGGTATAGGGGAATAAATGGTGATGGGAAATAAATAAATAAAGTTTTACAACTAAAAAAAAAAGATATGTTTGTTTATTGATTGTTTGAAATGCTTAGATATGCTGAACAGATGGGTTTCTTTAGGCTACCTCAGCACCAAAGAATTATTTAGGACAAGTATTGAACTTAGTGGGTCTGTTCATATTGTGTAAAAAAAGTCTATTTGCCATATTAATTTTTATAGCTAAAAACGGATTCAGTTGTTTTAAACTAGTATGTATTGGCCTTAAATTTTATTTTGAGTAGAACAACAAATTATTTATTCAATTATATGTATACCGATAAATGGCATGTTTAGTAAAAGGACCACAAATACCTATTTTCTTCTTCTTTTTTTTTTTTTTAAACCATTGTATCAGAAGAAATACTGTCTCCTCCTACTTCATTTCTGTCTTTTTAATACAGTCCATTAGCTAATGATATCTCGTCTACCATTTTTCTTGTTCTGAATTTCAAGATTCTAGCCCATGTGGTAATGTGAACGTAGCTCTTAATGAAAATATGCAATGTCTCTGCTTCTATTTTGTATTCTTCTTTCCTGCTATTGTTTGTCAATAAGGCTACAATGAAAAACACCACCAATTTCTAATAATGAAATGGCTTTTTAGAGGCATTTAAAATGCCTTTTACATTCATCTTATTCCACCCAGCAATCCTATGATGG